AAATGTCCGGGACATAAAAATTTCTGGACATGGACACGGACTGTCCCGTCCCGGACGTCCAACGTCCATGTCCATGTCCCATGACAACACTGAATATACAGTAAGCATTAAAATAAAGAAATTTTTAGTCACTTCCTCATTCTGGACAGTGCAATTGACAATTTAAGCAAATTGTTGGTGCTGGTGAAAGTATATGCGGTGGTGATGATGATGTTGAGGGTATATGCGGTGGTGATGATGATGTTGAGGGTATATGCACACGAACCTATACATAAATAATAAAAGTTAATGTGAATTACGAGCATTAAATACTCCAGTTCTATCACTAATTTCACTTACATTCTTTTTTCCTCGGCATTTTCTCGGTGCCGGTCCCAAGTTATAATCGACCTTTTCTTTACTGCGAAGATTAACTTCGCGGGTTTTGGTTGGTGCCATCCTCCTCCTTTTCGCTGAGTATTCTGAGGACTTGCACCAGAAGGAAAAGCATCTTCGTTTGGATCTCCCTCGAAATTTGAGATAAATGAAACTTCGCTAACTTTGTCACTTGAACTTTCCTCACAGTTTGAGTCTCCTCCATGATCTCCCCGAAATTTGAAATATCACCGAATGAAATTTCACTAACACTGTCACTTGAACCATTTTTGTCGGAATTTTTGCTGATTGGGTCTCCTCCAGAGCTCTTTGTTTTATTATTGTCTGCGAACTTACTAATAAATTTCGTAAGATCTGCTTTTGCAGTTCTTAGTTTTTCATCAATGTCTGAAAGATCAGAAAGAATATGATCTTTCTTAATTTCGTACTCTGATACTTTCCGTCTCTACAAAATAACATATTAGTTAGTAATGGTACTTAGCTAATAAATAGAAAGATAATAACAGGAAGCAATAATATTACCAACTCGCACTCTTGAAGTACTTCATTCCAATATATTTCGATTTCATTAGCACGCCGTTGTCGTTCTAAGTATATCTGTTGCAAAAAATAACGTTAGCAGTGCATTAAATTTTTATTTAGTAATAAAGAAAGGTGCATAGTCGATTCCTCCTCCAGAATCAACAGTCCTTTATTAACAACAAAGTTAGGATGCTTGAATAAAGGACTTGGAGTGGTTACCAAGTGGGTCATATTCAATGATTCTCCTGAGTCGATAACGCGCTCAACTAGAAAAATCAGGGTGTCTGAATAGAGGACTTGGAGTGGTTACCAAGTGAGTCATATTCAATGATTCTCCTGAGTCGACGACGCGCTCAACTAGAAGTTACCCTTTCTTTGCAAAATAAAAAAACGAACCTTCTTATATAAGTCGTCATATTCCTGTTTGCTCAATTGTGCTTTCGATTCTTCCAAGAAATTGTTGTACCAAATTTCATCGTGATCTTGCCCAGCAGTAGTGAAGGTCGACATTAGCGATGCAACAACAACATCTCGATAGGTGCATAAAAAACCAAGAAAAGACTTTTTATAACGTTGTTTTAGGTATGTGACGAGCTCATTATAACCGTCGTAAGATTTTGACATGGTGTACTAAGATTAAAAATAGGTTAGTAGAAAAGTTATGAACATTCAACAATCCTTATATACTGTATCTACGCGTAAACGCGAATTATTTAATAAAATCCAGATTTAGTCTGTTACACAAAAATGTCCCGAAATAGTCATGTGAATGTGAATTCGATCACCTGAAATGCGCCGGAAAAATTCTTGCCGAATGAATCGAATGAATAGGGGATTTTCATAGTATTTATTTTTACATTTATTATTTTATATAATTATATTTTCTGAAAAATATTCTTTTTTTTTTATATAATTTAACTATTATATTAAAAATTAATAATAAATAAAAAGAACTAATAAAATAAAAAAATATATATTATACTATTATTAATATAATAATATTATAATTTTAACATGAAATGATATTTTAAATTATAATAAATATAGTATAATAATATAAAGATAACATAATAATTAGTTATAATCGGTATTAAATAAATATTATTAAAAATTAAATTATAATTAATTGCAATCAGTAATAAATAAGTATTTTAATATTACAACTAATTGTAAAGTTATCTTTAATTTTATTAATATAATTATAACTAATATAATTATTTTAATTATAAATAATATTTTAATATTAACTTTTTAATTTATAATGAAATATAATTATAATTATTAATCTTACAATTTCTAATTATACATAGAATGTCATATATAGTCTAATATCAGTTATCTTATCTAAATTTAATATATATTTATTAATAATTAATTAGTAGATATTTTTAAAATGATAAAATTTACTATTTATATTCAAAAATAATTATTTTAAAATTTTTAATTTTATAAATTTAATTATTACTAATAAATTATAAATAAAATGTAAAAAGTTTTTTTTAGTAAAAATTTAAAATACAAACTAATAACATTTTAAATAAATATATATAATAGTATTTATTATTATTGTATTATAATTTGATAATAAAAAAAAAATAATTTTAGTTTATAATAATTTTTGAATTTTTATTAATAAAATCTATTTTTGATATTAAAAAATATTTTAATTAAATCTTAAATATATTAATTAATTTGTTTATTTTAAAAATATTAATTAAAACTAAATTTTAATATTTTAAATTTATTTAATTAATTTTAAATTTTGTATTAACTAAGTTTATATAATTTATTATAAGTTTTATTATATAACTTATATTTTTAAAAATTAATTTTATTAAATTTTAATATTTTAAATAGTTTTATAATAAAAAGATAAATATTATATATTTTATATAATAAAAATTTAAAATAAGTTTTAGATTTTAAATATATTAATAAATATATTATAAAGTAATAAATAAATTATTATTTTTATTATTTATTTATTTTTATATTATTAATAAATTTTTATTTATAATAAATATATTTATTTTGTAATATATATCAAAAAAATTTATCAATAATTATTTTAATATTTTTGTTTATTTTAGGTTTTATAAATATTATTATATATTTTTAATAATTTTATAATTATATTATTATACTTTACAATATTATTTTTAACTAATTAAATTTATAATAATATTTTATTATTTTAATTAATTAATAATTGATATTTTTATAAATTAATTTTATTTATATAAATTTTTTATGTTATTAAGAATTTTAATATCTCAACAACTTTTTTTTTTATTTTTATTAAAAATAATAATTATAAGTAATTTATTTATTTATTGTTAATATGCAATCCTTGTGAGTCAACGTAAAAAATCTATTCTAATTTACCCAGTTTTTCCGGTTAATATCTAATAAAACCGGTAAATTTTTTTAATCCCGGAAATTTTTCGGTTATGGCGCAGCAGATTTCCGGAATATTTTACAAATGCCGGAAATTTTTTTTAATAAAATTTGTAATTTAATATACTTATAAAAAACGAAAATTTACTATCCAGTTATTATTATACTGACATCTTTATTATCAATAATTTCAATAATTTGATTACTACAATATGATCATTTAATGCCTGTGCACCTTTTTTGATTACTCCAAATTGTATACGCGCGTGTATAATTAAAATTCTTGCTTTCCAGACCTTCCAAAGAAACGCGCATCAGCATATCTAAGGTGTTTGTAGTTAATAAATTTCTATCCTTTGTTTTAATTTTATTTTGTCTGCTAAAACCACGCTCACATTCCACACTTGAAAAGGGGATACAATAAACTATTTGAATTAATTTAATGATATTTGGAAATATATCATTATAATTTTGAATTAATAAAGGAAGTAATACCTCAATATTATTAGAAGAAAAATTATTGATAGTTATCATCTTGAACCCTGCCCACTCTTCCCTACATTTTTTAATATCAAAAAGTGCGGAAAATTGAATATTATTGTGAAAATTTGGTTGCTCAAAATACTTTAATAAAATTTCTAGATCATTATCTCCAAACAATAATAATTTTTGAGAATCATTTGGCCATTCACGAGGATTTAATATTTTCATAGAAGCAAATAATTGCCGGTTAGGAAATCTATACTGAAGTTCATTAATAACATTTGTTGAATAATCATGCGCATCCATTATAAATTCATCATAATCTTGTTCAATAAAAGAAAGATTATTGTTCAAATATGTTATTAAAGAATTTTTAAATGGATTAGTTTCGTCTATAAACATTTGAACATTTTGTCCAAATCTTTGATTTTGATCTATTAGAATATACTCCTTTTGAATAGAATTAATTGTAGCTTGTATCATAGGGTCTATATCAAAAAATTTTAAATTTCTTTTTTGTAAAAATTTACTCAATTGTGTTACATGTTCCAAGATATCGTAAAAGTAAAATAAAAATGCCAGCATTTTTCAAGATGTTAGTTGCTTATATAATTCTCGCCCATTATTATTTGTTGATTCTTTGAAAAGTTTAAGTAATGCCAGAATTGAATTGCAGATATTTTTAATAGCTTCATACCATGCAAGCCATCGGATCTCATATAATTTCTTTATTTTTAAAGTTGGATCATCTAAAATATTTTGGATTTCCTTTAATTGTTGGATGTGTAAATATGAATTTTTAAAATAATTATAGATCCTTTTAACTAAAGATTCAACTTCTCCATAAAATTTAACTTCCTTTTTTGCATCTTTACATGCTAGAGCTAATCTATGAGCAACGCAATAATTGACAATTAAAGGATAAGTGCATATTCTAGAAAGCTTTGCGGCTACACCCTCATTTTTTCCTAACATAACAGAAGCACCATCAGAAGCAAATGCTACAAGCTTAGATAAAATCTTTTTTCTTTTAAAAATATCAACCAAAACCTTAGTAATATCCTCTGCATCACAACTTGTTAAAGGTATAATGCATAAAAAACGTGTTTTTAAGATTCCCTCTTTAGTTATATATGAAACATATATATCTAGATTTTTTGTAGTAGTAATGTCTGTACTTTCGTCAATCATTACACCAAATATTGCAACATCAAATAATTAATTCCAAATTTCTTCTTTAATAGTATTTGATATTGCTTCCAAAAATTCATGTCCTGAAATATTATTTGTATATGTAATCGTACCACTAAAAAGATCTAGTGAACCTGACTCTTTCAATAATTCAATAACAGATGATAAAAGTCTAAGAGGCAAATTTTTTTTCGCTAAAAAATAAACAGCCCGCATTATATCAACAATATGATTCATATTTGCATTAGAAGAAGTGAATTCTTTTTGTAATGATTCCATTTGTATTCTTGAACTTTCTAATTTCTCTGCATCATTATGATCTTCAGTATTTATATGCTCTCTAATTGCTGATTTTCTTGAAATATTTGTTGTCCCCTCTGTAGCAAATTTATTTTTTTTCTTATGTCGCATACATAATGTACAATACATTCTTTTGTTAATTTCATCATAGCGTAACCAAGAAAATTCATTCAGCCATTTGAGTTTGAATATTTTATTATTACTTTTATAAGATTTTTTGGCATCTTTGCTAGAATTATCTTCATTATCAGAAGCTTGATCATTTTGAAGTGAATCACTTCTAACTCTTTTAAGTTCGAAGCCGTATTGTAATAATGACATTATAAAATGCGATAAAATTTAAAAAAAAGATTATCATATTTTATATAATCATTTATTGATGATACAAAAAAACCGGAAATATTTTTTAATTTTGGTTACAAGTTCCGGTTAAAAAAAATAATTACCAGAATTTTTATCTTTTACCGGATTTTTTCTGAAATTTTTCAAGGTTTTTTTTTTACGCTGGTGCAGGGTCAGTCTTCTATAGTTTTAGTCTTAAATTAATTCTTTTAATTTGTATTTTATTTATATATTCTATTTTTATAATAAAGATATTGCGATACTACCGCACTTTTAAAAAAAAAAAAAAAAAAAATTGAATCTTCAAAATTTTTTGTGAATTTTATATCACGTGATTAGTAATTGACCAATAAAAAATGAGATATCATTTTAAAATTACAATAATTCAAGCTGACATTATGATAATTACCATAATGTTGGCTCGAATTATCATAAATTTCAATCAATAATATATGTTTCAAATTCAGAAAGATTATATGAAAATTATCTAATTTTAAATGCCTATAACTTTTTATATAGAACTTATTTTGAAAAACTGATTGGTAATTTAATAGAACTTATCTCAAAGAATAAAGTTACTAGTTTATTTTTTCTAAATTGTATTTTTTAAAGAGTTGAAAGATTTTTAAGTGTTACATTTATATTGTTAAGTATAGACTTCCTGTATCATATAAAGAATAATTCTTTACTAAGAAAATTACTATATAATTAATTAAAAAGATTTTTTAAATAAAAAAAAGAAATTTTAAAATTCAAAAACTAATTCTAAAACTTATAAAGCTAAAATTAAACCTATTTATTTTATATATTTAATTTATTAGAAATTTTTATTCTTTATTTCTTTTCTTTTTTATTTATCATTTATTTTAAATATTTAAATTATATATTATTTGTCCGAAGCTTTAGCTGAAGGACATATACGGTTAGACCTGCTTTTATGCATGCATATGCATGCAATGTCTATCCGCACGCGTGATCCGCCAATAATATGTATTATTATGATATCACGTTTTACACCTTTTTTATTTTGTTATTCGTATGACCAAATCCTTACTCCGTATCATGTTATTTATTTATCATCTTCTTTTTGTCGTTACATATATTAAACTTAAAAATTAAAAAATAAATACTGTTGTAAGCTAAATAAAAATAAAGTTGTTATTTGTATTTTATATTAATCGATAGAATTATACAATAATATAGCTTTTTGTCTTTTAAGTTTTATTATTTTTTTACTTTGCTTCGTTAAATTTTGTATCTACTCGCCATACATAATATCTGTGAAATGGATGAATACCCTTTTTGTGATACCCTTCGAAAACGTAAAGAAAGAAAAAATGAGATTTCTGAACAACGCAACCTTCATCAAAAATGCAATAGAGAAAGAAAACGTGTTAAAAGATCAAATGAAAATGCTGAACAACGAAAAACTCGTTTAGGTAAGAACCGTAAAAGATGTTCTATTAATCGTAACAATCGCGAAAATTGCCAGTATGATGCTTCGCTCTATATTATAAATAACCAGCTAAATGCTTCGCATCATATCATTGATGACCATTGTCTTCCTGATTCTGACCTAAACTTACTCCATAAATTTCGCTCTAAAATTGATAAGTTTGCTAATAATCTTTGTACTGTATGCAATAAATGTTTTCTGTCAATCAGATTTGTATGTGGTGAATGTAGTCGCTGTCACTCAGAAATTAAAGAGTTGAAAAGACTTAAATTGAATCCTAAATTGAAAAGGTTCTCATCGAAAAATAATATGGATCCAGGTGATGTACCTAAGGAACTACAAGGTCTTACTCAAATAGAAGAGATGCTTATTGTCCAGATATTTCCCATCGTCTCTGTATATCATCTGAGTGGTGGCTAATATACGTATCAGGATAACATGATTAATTTTCCTCAAGATGTTCAGGAATTCGCTACACGTCTACCTCATCGTCCATCATCGCTTGATATTCTTGTTGTACGTCATCACTCTTCTGATGGTAGAACATTTAAAGATTTTAACGTACGTCGTTCTATGGTATCTCGTATTCTTCACTGGTTAAAGCATAATAATTGTTACTATTCTAATATCGTCATTGATGAAGAAGTTTTGAAAGCTTTACCTGATAATGGCTCTTTTGATGATCAGATTCCTCAACTTGAAGATATAAGTGATAAAATCTCTGATGACACAGATAACCTCGATGATTCAATGGTTAATAATTTTGTTCCCATTTCCTTTCCTACCCCTAAAGAAAATACTGCTATTACTGATACACTTACTCGATTACAAGCCGAAACTGAACTGACCCTGTGGCTCAATATAGATGAAGTTCCAGTAAATGAATTCCAAACTTTCAGATATATTGTTTGTGCATTTCTGACCTTATACCCTACTGGAGCTGCTGATCTTCATTCAGAACATGCTAGAGATGTAAAACCAGTTGAGTATTTTTCACACTTACTCAAGTACAAAGATGGCCGATTCGCTCGTAATGCTCATTGACACTACTTTGCTTTAAATTCGCAAATGCGTTAGAGGGTCCTGCAAGAGGGAAAATTGTATGTAAAGCAGAATTTAAATGACGGTCAGTGTACCGTTGAAGATTTACAGAAAATGCTTGAGAATGATAATTATATGGCAGATAAAATCATATGATTTGGGAAAGGTTTGCACAGTTTTCATCAGTTTTGGAACAGACGTCGACCAGAATTGAAAGACATGATTAATCAATTGGGAACGAATGGCATACTATTTTTTACCTTTAGCGCTGCCGATTTCCATTGGCCTGATCTACACAGGCTTATGCCGCATAAAAATTCTCTGAGTACATTATTTGAGCAGGAAGCGATCACTTACAGATGCCAAGACTTAATTGACAATCCTTATATTACCGCTTGATTTTTTGAAAGACGCTTTAAACTATTTTTTGAAAAAGTACTGGTTCCTAAATGAAACTTTGAGGATTGGTGGTTCCATTACGAGTGGCAGCACCGTGAAAGCTCTCACGTTCATAGTGTAGCTAAAAGGAGAGATGCTCCTGTTATTGATTGGAAAAAAATGAAAGAGGATGAAGAATCAATGATTAATGTGATCCAATACCTGAATTCTTTAGTTACTACAATTAATCCATGTCTTGATGTGCAGATCCCTGAGCATCATTCTTGTCAGAAACGTTCCGATGAGCTGCTATATGACAATCAGGATTATGTTAATCTGATTAATAAGCTACAACGGCATACGCGATGTAGCGCATCTTATTGTCTTTGTGTTGATCATTCAAAACATCAATCTTGCAGATTTGGATATCTGAAAGAAATCGTTGAAAATACATACCTGCAAGATGATAATAAACAATCAGAACTAATAACTGCAAAAAATGATCCACTTATTAATTCTCATGATCGCTTGCAGCTTCAAGGTTAGCATACGAATGTTGACTTAAAACCTATCCTGAGCATCAAAGTTACTTTGAATTACATTGCAAAATACGCGAGTAAATCTGAACCTCGCTCTGCTACCTTTTCAGATATGTTAACCAAAATTCTCAATAACAGTAATCTAAGTAATTCATCTCTTAGTGTTGTTCAACGTCTACTGCTTCAAACTGTTGCAGAGCGTGATATATCCGCACAGGAAATGTGCCATTTACTTCTAGACCTTCTCCTTTATTGTTCCAGCCGTCAGTTTGTCTCTTTAAACATCAATAAAAATACTCCTTGATGACTTTGTGGATCAGAAGCATCTCCCATTTCGGCAGATGAAGAAATCAGTCAGACTGTGCTATCTTCTTTGCAAAAATATTGGGATCGCCCGCTGAACTTGAGGATCTTTCGCTTTTCAACTGTATCTGAAATATCATTATTGTAAAGGTCACTGGAAAATATGCAAAAGTAAAAATATCGTGCGTGTCTGATCGCGTTCTTCATCTCATCATAATGGCATACAATGAAAAGATTATTGTCGTATTAAAGTCCTACTTTATATTAGCCATCGTGATTTAAGTGTATTGACTGATGATAACAGTGCCTCCTAGCCTGATCTCTTCAATCGTTACTATGGAATAATTGAATCTGCTTCAGATTTACTTGGTCTACCTATAGACACTCTAGAAAACGATGCTGTTGACAATGAAAGCGATCAGGTTTGTAAAGATCTAGACGATATTGAAGGGAAGATCCGCCTAGATTGGATGATCCTTTTAGAGATGAGACCTGATGAAGAGTTTGAAATTGCTTCCGATTTGGGCTTTCGCGATGTTGACCGTAATTATGACTAGAGTGCTGATTTTAGAACGTGTTATCCTGATCTTGATATTGCTACCATTCTTAACTTTATACCGCAAGCTCACAGTTCCACCAATCTTAATGATGTTCCTTGCCTAATTGTGCAGTAGATCTCCGTTCTTTGAATGAAAACCAGATGTTGGTATACAGGCGAATTGAATCTCATTACACTACCCTACTTACTGATCAAGAATGCGTTGATCTGCTCAGGCTTATCGTGTTGGAAACTGCCAATACAGGAAAGTCTTATTTAATCAAGATGATTCAAGACCGGCTTTGTGAAATTGCTTGTGATCATGATGTCATTGATTTGCCTGTTAAGCTGCTTGCCCTGACTGGTGTTGCGGTGTTTAACATCCATAGCGCAATGATCCATTTATCCTTTTCTATTTCGATATCTAGCAAAAGTTTTGATTTAACTGGCAAAAATCTGAAAAAACTGCAAAAAAAATTAGACGGTGTATACTATTTCGTTATTGACGAAAAAAGTATGGTTGGGTGTCGCATGCTTGACTTGGTTGACTTACGTTTACGTCAAGTCTTCCCGAAATACAGAAATCAAGTATTTGGTGGACGATCTGTGATTCTTGTCGGAGACTTTGGTCAACTTTTACCTGTACTTGATGAACCAATGTACTCTCAAGTTCTACATTGGGATTCTCTATCAAATGATGCTATAGCAGTTTATCGACAATTTC